CACACACACACACACACACACACACACACACACACACACACACACACACACACACACACACACACACACACACACACACACACACACACAGAAGTGTACTGAAAGGAAAAGGGTCTGATACGCATTCTAGGCCCAAGTACACAGATGTGGTGGACCGTGCGCCTCTCCGAAGAGAACAATGGCTTTTCATCAAAACATCACCATTACCAGAACATTGCACAATGGTTTTAAATGCCGTATGTAACTTGATAGAAGATTGTAAGGTAAGGCTGTTTCAAGTCTGGATCTACTTATGTGGGTGGAAGAGGGTTTGTTCTGACAGTTTAAAATACACTCAATGACGCAGACGATCTTTGGTGTGCGAAAGACCATTCAAAACGCCACAACGGATGCACTTGGGGGTAGAGGCAAGAGTGAGCACGATGTTTTTTTTTTTTTTTCCCTCCTCATCACTAAAACGGTGGTTCACTTTTTTTGTTTAATAATCTTTTTTCATGTTTTTTTGCCATGGAATTTTCTGCCTGCACGTTGTTCACCAGATGGCATGGCTCTTTTCTTCAATCTCCGGGCCTGTTTGGACCCAGCTCGCAGCGCTCTGCCCTCCTGTTGTCGGGGCCACAGCTACCCTTTTTTTTTGTTTGGCCGCGTCCAGGGCTGTGAGTTCCGGAGAAGGGGGGCATTATGGTGGTTAAGGTTTGAGGCAACCCCCTTGGGTCAAAAAAAAAAAGAAAAGTTCAAAAAACTCTGGATTCTGGACGTTGTCGAGTTACATCAGTGTTTGTTTCTCGAACTTTCTCCCACAGCAATGCCCTTTCAGTGTCTCACCCTGCTTTGTCAAGTGAGTGTTTTTTTTTTGTTTTTTGTTTTTTTTTGTTTTTTTTTGTTTCCCTAAGGAAAAATGGTGACAGCGTTGAGATATCATCATTGAACTTACTAGCCGCAGGTAAATTCCGAGTTATTTTAGTTCTTGATGATTTTTAAAATTTTTAACCCATCTGATTCTGTCTGGATTCGAACAACTTAGTTCTGTTTATCGGCATTTCATGGGTGTACCGTTCAGCCACACAGGCTAGGTGTTGACGAGTTTTTCGTAATTTGTTGTTTGTGTGTGTCTCACCCACAAGCCTCTGCCACAAGATTCAGGGCACATACTCCCTCCAAAAAAAACACATGGAGTGTTTCGACGGAGTGCTGGACTCAATTGCTGCCAAAGAAAAACATCCTGCAGGGGCTGTAATCAATGGTCAGATGCATGCATGAAAGTTCTAGCGTGAGTACAGCCTCAGAGCAGCAATTTGCTCTCTCCAAATTTTGACGTTTTGAAAGTTTAAATCTTTTTTTTTTTTTCATTAAGATTTATTTCTGCCATGTGTCACATATTCAGGTCCAGGCCGTGGAGTATGTTCCAGCAGGGGATCGCATTGTTTCCTGTGGCGCCAACATTGTCAAGGTGCGTGGGTGGGTGTGGGTGGGTGTGGGTGTGTGGGTGTGTGTGTGGGTGGGTGTATCGGGTGGGTGGGTATGTGTGTGTAGGTGCATGGGTGGGTGGGGAGGCCAGTAGGGGGGATAATTCAGTATTTTGCCGTCATCCTGCCCTACATCATGGATGCATCAGACCGCGATTACAGCTATGTGATGTGGGGCAGAAGAAGACTGATGCTTTACACAACAGAGCTGGTGGTGATAGGGATGGGAAATGGAGAATTGAATGGAAAAAAAGAAAAAAAAGAAAAAAAGTTGTATTATTTGTCCTGTTGCCATCCTGACATGAAATTTAGATTCTTTTTTAATATTGTTTTCTCTTTTCGTTTTGAGTATTGTTATTAGTTGTCACTACCTCCCTATGTCAGGATTGGGTAATTTATGTGCCTGCTGCGGCTGTGCTGCCTTCTTTTTTCTTTTTTTTCTTTCTTCTTTTTTCTTTTCCTTTTTTTTTTTGGGCTGCAGAAGGTTGTCTTGCCCCGTCTATTTGGGGGATTCATTCAAAAGAAAAGAAAATGAGAATGAATAATAATATTAATAATGACCGGGAAGCAATTGACAAAAAAAATTGTAAAAAATGAGAAGAACAGGCAGAGTCGAAGTGGACGGTCATCATGTACGCGGGCATGACACAGCCGCATGAGGATACTACCCGTGTAAGCCCACTCCTGTTAGGGTCTAGTTGCACCACTCACTCGCCATTTGGCCCATTCCCCAAATTTTTGAATTCATAAAGGACATCTCTGTCCAGATGCATGGAGAAGCTTGGCAGATGGCGAGTGGTGCAGCGAGGCCCTTATGTCCCAGGCTGTCAGTTGTAACATGATCGTGAAGAAAATTCAGATTTTTTTTTATTTCCCCCCCCCCCCCCCTCAAAAAGGCAAAGCCCCATCTATTCTGGGGGCAATCAGTCCGGTTGCTCATTACCGGCAAGCCAACAGTGCATGAGAAAGAGTAGATCAGACAAGAATCAGATACAGCCACCCTTGCAGCTCTAGTCGCTTACACAAGGGGGGTGTTGCTTCGGCCGCTTTACCCCCGAACCATGACTCATTTGCAGGGTGCACTTGCTGGCCGGGAAGCTTACTGGCAGCACCCAGACACACAACATGTGGATCCTGTAAACGGCGGGGCGCGGGGGAGAGCCGCCTGTTAGCCTCACCGACCGGTCAATGTCCAAACTCTAGCTGAATGTCCATTTCTCAGTCATTGTCCCTACCGTCTACTCGTCGGTACTATCTCACTGTTCCCTTACCGTTTGCTTGACATCCAGATACTTTGCCGATTGCCTACTTTATTGCTACAAACTACAATATATCTTATGCCTCATGCTTGGCCTCGCATTACTTGCCCATTCCCTACCTTGAGCTATGCCTTGATCCATGCTCCTACTACTCACGAGCTCCCCTTGTTCCTTACAGTCTGTGTATAGTACCTCGGCTTTTTCATTACAGCTTCGCCTCCCTTCCCACTCTCCCCCTCCCCTCACATACTTGTACACCCACCCCTACTTTCTTCCTATCCTATCCTCATCCCTCTCTTTGTATGCCGGCCCTACAACTTGTTCTATCCTATGCTCGTCCATTCCCACTAACTTCCAAACTCTACGTTACACATCGGTCTCCGCTTGACATGTTCGTCGCAGCAACAGAGGCCCAAACAAGATTCGGCCCGACAGGGGGTCCGGCACCAGCAGCTGTGGATAGGGGTTCCATCTCCTCCATTCGTTCTCGGTCACACCGACGGAAGTCTGCCTGAATGGCCACTCGAATTTTTTCCAACGCTTGTCCCTGGTATGCCTGCAGGGTGGGGGCCGTACCCTGTCTGCATCGCTCGTTTCTCAGTGTCCAGATGGTCCATATTAGTTCTGCTCTCACAGTTTACATTGTCTGCTGATTCTCCTGTTGCAACCTATTGGCCCTCATCAGGGTTCCCAGGAGAATGAGAGCCTCTTCTGTTTCTGCTACTTCCAAAAGGGTGTGCTCTACTATTTGCGCCCACCACGTCCACAAGGCCCAGATTACCGGGCATTGCACGAACATGTGGGGTATGGTCTCCACCTCTCCATATCCTGCCTCACATTGTTTCTCCTTGTGGCAGCTTCTGAGTGCCAGCCATTGTGCTGTTGGAATGGCCAGATGATATATTTGCCATAGCAAGCCAGCCTGTTTCTGATCTGGCAGCGCCGCCATAAGTGCACATTGCACGCTCCACTTACTCTGAGTCCATCTTTCATAATAAGCGTGTGGGAGCCAGTCTCTCTCCGCCCAGCAGCTCTTGAGTTTCCCACAGATGTCGCGTGGCTCTAGCAGGGAGTTATAGATTTTCTTGCTTGTCAGCTGCTGCAGCGGGGTTGTTCTCTTATGCATCCCTTGAGGAGGCCACCCCCAGTCCCGCGGGTCCCAACTTAAGTCTCGCTGCCGGTGTGCCACCCTGTATGGGCAGAATTGGCTTTGTTCCTTGGCTCCTCCCTCGCATACCACTACAGTCTCCGCACCGCTCCTCAATATTCATCTTTGAGCGGCCTGGGACTTCCTCAGGGGTTCGCCAATCCCTTCACATCCCAAGTCAGATTCAACGTACCATGCGGTGACTTCCAACCACTCTTCCTGGGGGGGCTGTTCCACTCGATAGACCATGTCTGGCCTGGTGACTCCTTTAATTCGCACCCATTCTCCTTGCACAACCTCGTCCTTCTTCAGCAGATCTATCCATTGCGAGAGGATAGCCTCTCTCAGCTCTCTCACCCGTTTCATTCTCCATGCTTTCCCGGCGAGCATTGTCATCATCTCGCTGTCTGTTCGCCAATCTTTACGGTCCTCGTCCCATAGGTGTCCCACTTTGAATATCCCCCGCTCTGCCCACTTCCATCCGAAAGCTCCCCGCCGACCTTGCCATGGGAAGGGGTCGCCCCTTCTATTCTGGGGGGCATCAGTCCAGTTGCTTATTACCGGCAAGCAATGAGGCATAAGTGGTAAAGAGAAAGCAAGGAACAGCCTTTCCCTTGTGCCACTACAGTCTTCCCCCCAACAAAATGCATGTGCGTTATGTACGAATAGAATGCACGGGGTGCGTTGTATTCGTAGACAACGCGCATGCGTTATGCTACGGGGTATCAAGTACTATCAACTTCCGAAAATGCCTTCCCCCCGAAGAAAAAAAAGAGAAAAAAAAAAAGTATGTGCCTCTCGTACAGGTATCTCCAGTCTTCCCACAAACAGGACCGTCAGGTAAGACACAAAGAGAGAGAGAGAGAGAGAGAGAGAGAGAGAGAGAGAGAGAGAGAGAGAGAGAGAGAGAGAGGGGAATACTGCAGGGTGCGCACCTGAGAATGAGCGCGACACTGCAGGCAGGCAAGCATGTGTTCTATTTGAAAAGAACACCCGTCTGTTCGAATAGAACAAATGTGCGTAGTATTGGAATAGAACATACGTGCGTACTATTTTAACGTGCATAGTATTTGGATTTCAGGGGGCGACTTCAAGAAATCGACTTTTTCAGGGAAAATTGAATAGTACATACGTGCGTTTCGTTCGGGGGAAGACTGTAGGCACCTAACAAGGGGGGGGCCTGCTCTAAACCGACCCACCCTCCAGGCCCTATCCTACCCTCATGGGGTGCTTCTGCTGGCCAGGAAGCTTACTGGCAGCAAGGGACGCAGCAGACGGATCCCAAGGGAGGAGGGTACCGGGGGGCGCTCGTAGCAGTCTCTCAGTTTTTGTACTTTTTCAGAAGTTTTCTTGTTTTTCCTCTTTTTTTTTCTCTCTCTCTTTTCGAGAACTTCACAAATTATTGTTTTTTCCCCACTGTCCACAGGTCTGGGACTCCGCCACAGGGGAGTGCCTGCATAGCATGGGACCAGGCACCGATGGGGATGAAGGCCCTGCGGGCCATGTCAAGAATATTACTGCATTAACTGTGAACTCTTTCCAAGGAAGTAAGTTGTTGTTGTTGATATGCTCTCTTTTCATCAATTCATCACTCTTCTTTTGTTGTTCCCTTCTTTTTTTTTTTCCCTTTCTTTTTTTTTATATTTAAATTTGGACCATTTCTCGATTTACGCATGTCGTCTTTGCGCAGGGGTCATGCTAATCTTCTCTGTATCGTTTCAAATTCCAATCCTTTCAACGGATGTCTTGGAGGACCAATTCATCCCTCTTCAACTTGTTATGTCTATAGTTTTATTAGGCTATAGCATTTATACTAATTTTATAGAGTCTATCTAGGCTACCAGAGTGGCCCGGGACCACTTGCCCGGCCGGGCCCAAAAAAGTAAAAAATTATGAAAATGGTTTAAAAATCAAAATAAAAGTTTTTTTTTTTTTAATTTTTTATTTTAAAGTTGGTAAAGAATCTCGATGTGACCCTGAGGCAAAAGTTGTTCAGTTTATTTTCCTGCATAACATAGTTTTTTTCTTGTTTTTTTCTTTTTTGCTGCGACCTTCCCTGATCCTTGCACGATCAGGGTGCCTGGGAAAACAAGGTGACCCAGGCGGCA